TTGTTGACTTCCTTTTTGTTTTGTTCTTGTATAGTATTAGATGGACCAGCCTTAATATTATACATCCCAGGGGCTCAGGAGAGAGAACTACTAACAGAGGACTATTTTCAGGAAATAGAATCTCAGCACACCGAGCTCTATAGTCCACTTGCTTTAATTCCTCTGGAATAACATCCTATTTACACAGCTTCAGTTCTGTTCTTGTGCCTAGCTCCTTTCTTGCCTGATTTCTCTCTATATTTATTTACTGTTCCCTCTAAGTGCTATCTTAATTCTCTCATCTTAATTCTGCCTCATCTAGGTCCTTTTCATCTTCTTCTTACCCAGCTAGTACTTCCCCATCTGACTCTTCCTCATCTTCCATCTCATCCACATGTTCTCTCTGGTCAAAATCCTCCTTGTTCCTCCCCGTTCTCCATCTCTCTATCCTCCACGTGCCCTGGGAGTCCTGGTATATATACACTTACAAATAGTAATCCCTTGGCAGTGCAAAGCCAGGCTTCCAGGGTCAAATGGAGGGGTGATAAGAATCACATAGAGGGGCAATAACCATTAATTATCATTTGCAACCCCAAAGGGAAGTGACCAATGGGGAAATGAATTAACTAAAGGCTAAATTCAGGTAATATCTAAAAAGAGGGCTCTTACGCGCTCAACTATAATCTTAAACGTGATTGGTAGAAAATGTTAAGAAACTTTAAGTTGCTAGGTCAATGGGAGAAAATAAAACTGTCTTCTTTTTTCCTATAGCTCCTATCTGTCCAAGCTATCTGCTGTTTTTCTGCAGGGTGGGGCAAAGTGTGCTCAGTTGCTAGGCAACCTGTGGACAGGTAGATGACTCTGGTGATAGTTAAAGGGAGATCTGGAACTAGAGGTAAGGTTTGGGAAAGAAGGAAGTAAAACTTAATTGGCACATCCACCAGGCCTTCTCAAACAGGTAGCCTGGATGTTTAAGTCTGTTCTTAGAGAGTACAGAGGTATCTCTGATAAGGTACTTTCCTCCTTCTGGGGATGGACCTGGCCGGATGCTACCAATGATAAAAATTACAGGCAGGCTTGAACTGGGGTTCTGGCTGAGCATAGCTGTCAGCGCAGAAGGTTATCTAAATATTCCTAGAAGTGGTTAGGTAAGGAGTTAAAAGTTTATAAAGTTAATAAGTCTGTAAGAAAGGAGGGACTGAGTTAAATTGTGTAAAGCTATTACTTAACATCCACCTGACCTAGGCAGTGTCTCCTTGTGGAATTTACCTTAAATCAGGAGACTTGTATATGGAATGTTATTACTGCTAGTCCTTGAAAGTGGCCAAGGGAGATATCTGACTCCAGAGGAAGTCTTTCCTGAGGTTGTTCTCCAAATACCTGGAATGTGTATGTCCAGAGAGTGATCAGTCCACTGTTAGTCCTTCTTAGGGAAAAGTCAATTGGGAAAACTATGAAGGCACACAAGATTTTCATAACAGAAGACAGCTGATATATAATAAGCCAAATAACACCAAAAACTCCTTGGAATTTGGCTTCCTCTGGATAAGCCAAATAACACCAAAAGCTCCTTGGAATTTGGCTTCCTCTGGAAGAATTCCCTGATCCCTCCAGGTAGTGACTTTGCCATAACCAGCTGAGTTCTTATGATATATTCCTGTGACCCACAGCATTCTTTTTGTTTTTGTTTTTGTTTTTATTAAGAGATTTTCTATTCATTTTACATACCAACCACAGATTCCCCTGTCCTCCCTCCTTCTACCCCACAGCCTTCCCCCCCAACCCACCCTCCATTCCTACCTCCTCCAAAGCAAGGTCTTCCATGAGGAGTCAGCATAGCCTGACACATTCAGTTGAGGCAGGTCCAGGCCCCTCCTCCCTGCACCAAACCTGTGCAAAGTGTCCCACCATAGGCCCTAGGTTCCAAAAAGCTGGCTCATATACTAGGGATGGATCCCAATCCCACTGCCTGGGGGCCCCCTATACAGTTCAAGCTAAACAACTGTCTCACTTATCCAGAGGGCCTAGTCCAGTACCATGGGGGCTCCTCAGCTATTGGTCCACAGTTCATGTGTTTCCACTAGTTTGGCTGGTCGTCTCTGTACTTTTTCCAATCATAGTCTCAATATCCCTTGCTCTTAGAATCCCTCCTCTCTCTCATTGATTGGACTCCTGGAGCTCTGCCTGGGACCTGGCCATGGATCTCAGCATCTGCTTCCATCACGGGGAGCAACCTGGGGGTGGGAGGGGTAATGGAGGGCAAGAGATGGGGAATGAGAGCTTAGGGGAGTGGGAGGTTCAAGCTGGAACAGGAACAGAGTGGGAGAGCAAGGAAAGAGATACCATGATAAATGAAGATACCATGGGAGAAACAGAGTGCTAGGGAGGTTCCCAGGAATCCACAAGCATGACTCCACCATAGACTACTGGCAATAGTTGAGAGGGTGCCTGAGCTGGCCTACTCTGGTGATCGGATGGCTGAATACCCTAATTGTCATATAGAATCCTCACCCAGTGACTGATGGAAGCAGATTTGTTGACTTTTATTATACATTTTACTGACTTCTATTTGCTGTACATAATGATAGACTACACAGAACATTTTTAGACAACTGTATGTGACTTTGATCATATTCACCTCCTACTGCTTTTTCCTTCTCCCACCCCCTCCAGTCAATTCCTATTGACTTTGCCCAGATGGTCTTGCTTTCATGACCTATGTAATTGTGAATGTGTGTATGAATCTATACAAAACCCAGGATTCACAGATGAGGGGAAAAAAAGCATGTGGCATTTATCTCTCTGAAGCGTAGAGCAATGTTTGAGTGGAGCTCAAGATATTTCTATTTCAATACATTTGGCTTGGAGCAAAGGTTTCCATTCAACCCTTGGCTCTACGAAATCCTGATGGGTTTCTGAGAGTTTCCTGAACTGTCTGATTGCCTTCCCAGCAGAGAGTCTCCCTCCCCCTTCCTGGTTCCCATGGAAGTGGGGCAAGCGTCATTAAGATGAGCATGCAGAGAAGAAGGAAAAACCCAGCTTGCAGTATTAATGGGTTGCTGCAGTGGGGGTGAGTGCCAAATAGCTTGGCCTTGCCATAACTCTTTTCTTTTTGAGTAACACCCCTTGCTTAACATAAATTTTATTTTTACTTAGTCACAGCCCATTACAGCCCATATGGGAACCTTACCAATGCAACCTGCCAGCAATATTTGTTCAAATGGCTATAAAGTTACCCCAGATAATCAGACTTCTTTTGTGTCATCTCCTAGCTGTCCTGTGAAGGAAACTAAGAAATTGAAGCAGAGCAGGAGAATTTCCAAGAGAGCAACAATTAAATACACCTTTCTTTTCTAAGACTAAGTATAGAGGATCATAGTGGAAATACCATGGTTTTTGTAATGAGTTGTTCCATGCTTTTTCTTCATTACTCTGTGTCTGCGAAAGCGTCGGTTTCCACATGTTGGTAATGTGTCTGTGTTTCTTCGTCTGCTTGGGTCAGCCATGATTTACAATGTTTACTTTCACAATAGCCATGCCCACTGCATATTCCCGGGACAGGAACTCATGCAACGCTTCCCATTTGCTTTCAATCACTCACAGATGCACACAGACTGATCATGTCCCTCTGACTGGCCAAAGGGATTAGAGGAATTCTGAACTCTGAACCGAATGATTCCTCTGGGTCGCCTGATTTCACTTCTTGAAGCTGGAGGATAAGAGTCTAAGGTAACATTATCCGACTCTCATCTTGACGTTTGGCTCCGTTTCCTTTGTTTTTTTTCTTCTAAGGTTCAAACTTTATAAACTCTTTGCCCTTTAGACATGAGCAATCCATGTCAATTGGTGTTAGAAGCACTATTGAATTCAAACTTCTAATAATATTTCAGATGACTTTTTAAAAGATGCCACAGTGCCGGGCGGTGGTGGTGCACGCCTTTAATCTCAGCACTCGGGAGGCAGAGCCAGGTGGATCTCTGTGAGTTTGAGGCCAGCCTGGGCTACAGAGTGAGTTCCAGGAAAGGCGCAAAGCTACACAGAGAAACCCTGTCTCGAAAAACCAAAAAAAAAAAAAAAAAAAAAAATACTGTAGCATCATGTAGCATACAGATAACTGTAGTCAAGAGGCTGACAGGGAGGTGGGGTGGTGGGAAGTGATGGGAAACTCTACAATTAGCCCCGGGTGACTTAAAGTCAAGAAATCCCCCCAGTGTCTAGGCTTCCTATCAATAAGCGGCAGCTCTTACTTAGACAGCATGGCCATGACCTTCCCACTCCTGGTGACTTGGTCTCAAATTCTATCACTCAACGTGTTCTAATTTCCAACTTGGGTGTATGTGCACGGATGTACACGCACACCCTCATATCCATCCAGTTCCATAACCAGCCTGACGGTGTAGAAAGTGAGAGGGAAAACAGTCCTGAAGAAAGTCATGACAGCAGAAACAGGAGGGAGTCTGAGCACACTAAACCTAGAAAATCAAAGACCTAAAGCACGGGCAGAAGCAAGGAGTAGCCTAGAAGACACCAAGGAAAATTATATGAAGAAAAGAAATAAGATCCCTAGCCTGACTTTCCCTCACATTTTCTCTCAACCAGGAAATCCCAGTATAGAGATTTTTATTGATTTATCTTTAACTTGGACCCTAAGCTCAGTTCTGCCCCTCCTCCCGCGCCCAAAAAAAAGAAAGAAAAGAAAAATTCTTATGAAGAGAGAACCCTAATGGCATAACTGGTTAAATGCAGAATGTGTTGGGTTTGTGTAACTTGGATCATTTACTGTGGTATTTTCCAAAGCCATTCCAGAATTAGGTAAGTGTAGAACTGGGATTACTCCCAAAGTCTCATAATTATCAAAAAAGAAGCTTTTGTAGTTTAGGAAGGACCAGCATGAAATCTTGCCATTTGGCCAAACAAATTGGCCCTTTATTTTAAAAGCTCCCTGTATTTATAAAACAGCTACTACTAATAAATTTCCTATTTGTTACCAAACTTACAGGTCACAGCCCATATCCCACAAGCCAGGTTTGGCCACCCATCCTTAAGAAAACAGTTAAAAGAGGCAAACGAATTGTGAAAAGCAGAAAGGAGAGATTTCTTTAATGTGGCCAAAGATCCCAGAGACCTCCCCAAACTGATCATGTAGGGGGTGATCTTCACTTGAGGGTTTAAAGAGAAAGCAAGAGTTACGCACATCTAAGCCCACCACTGCCTCAGCTCCAAGTATCTCCTACAAGGAGAGATAAGGTTTCAGATCTTCTGGCAGTTCTTCCTCTGACACAGCCCTTCTTGTCCCAGCAGAAGATTACCGGAGGAAATTCTAATTTCTTGAGGTCCATTCTTTGCCTTTTCTGGTAGCCAAAAAGGGGAAAACCAGTGTCTCTTTAGAATACCCTGCCAGACAGGCTACATGGTCATTTGCTTTTAACTTCTTATGTGGGTGCTCCTTATACACTATTTGAGGACCTAGAGCTATTTTGTAAGTTTTATTTCAAAAACAATAAAGGTGTTTCTATGTGAGAGTTGTGTGATTACTATGGTTTATGAGTCCAAATTCATAAAATTAGTTAAGTATTCCAAATTTCCAAAAGATTATTATGATAACCAGAAGGCACTTCCTAAATTCCAGGCAATGGCCTATACAATGAAACATTATCTTTGTGTTCTTTCATTTTCATTTCGAGGAAAACTCACTATAAAAAAAATTCATGATGTTTTCACCAGCAGGCTTGCACTCTCATGTCTGAGATCAATTGTCCAACTTCCCTGCAGTCACTGAAATGTATCTCTTCCTCATTGTTGGATTTACATTAATTAATTCTGGCCAGCTATTAACCTAGAACTCTGGGTGCCTCCACCAGTTCATATATTCACTCTGTCATATTGAAGTTGGCTGAGAGGGTCACATTTTCCTTTTGTAAATTCAAAAACATTCCTGTAAGCTCCAGGGAGTTGACTTGGGTCCACCTCACACAGGTCAAATGATAAGTACTGTCAGTCAACAGCGTTTCCCTACCCACTGCCTATTCCTGAGGGTGGGAATCTCCTCCACCTTTCCCTGGTCTTGGGACTCCCCTCCCTCTGAACTCCTTACCTTTATCTTCTGCCAGCATCCTGCCAGGTCCAGGTGTCCCCTCAAAATCTGCATCCTGGACAGCTTCAAAATGGCTACTTCCAGGTGGTCCACCCTCACAGACTGCTTCAACTAGGCCTGCACTTTCCTAGTGCTGGACAGTCCCTCAGAGCCTGGAGCTTGGACAGCAAGTGAAACAGTTAGCTATCCCAGGACTTGGCCAGGATCCTAGATTTCTTGGGTCCCCTAAAGATACCAATATCCCCAGAAAACAGGAAGCAGTCTAAAGAACATGGCAGCCCTCTCCTCACCTCACGAGCTACCTCTTCCTATTTCCTTACCTTCTTACAATAAGCAAAGGGGAGGAATGTTGGTTCCTGCTACTGTACCAGTTCCTGCTGTTGCGGGTGCCTTTTCACCTTCAGCTAAAGGACATGTGCACCTCTCAAAAGTGTCCGCCAGGCACAGTGCTCTCTCTCTTGTCTCTTGCTCCTCTTCCTTGTTCTCTCTGTCTGTCTATCTGCCTCTCGTGTCCCCCACAGCCTTTCGCTCTTTCCCTATCCCCTTCCCACCCCCAATAAAACTCTTGTACTAACTCTGTTGCCCTTGGAGTGTTCCCTTAGTGGCATACCTTACCAAGGCTTGCTGCAAGATATGCACTTGACTTTTTTTTTTTAAATCCTTCCACTCCCCGTTTCTCTGGCAAGTGTGGCCATCTTGATTTACCCAACCAGACACAAATTAAATAGAAACAAAATGGTCTATGAAAACAGATTCCGCTTCCTGCTTTCTTGCCCTGGGCTTTTCTGAAGACTGACAATGCCCAAGGTTTTTTTTTTTTTTTTTTTTCTCTTTTCTTCACACCAAAGTTATTTTGTCTTACATTTTGCGCTTGAATGACACAATAAAGTTTATTTGAATGCATTTGATGACTAGCACCAAAGTGTGAATTGAAACATTCTCTCCTGGAGGAAGGAGGGAGAGAGGCTCATTAGTACACAACACAAGTCTGGAAAAACTGGAACTAGTGAGATTCATGAAGCCCTTCCCCAGCTCCGAGAGGAGACTCTGACCTACAAGCCCTGCAGGGAACTCCAGAGAGGCAGCATCTATGAGTCGGCACCCAAGCTCCGGTGGGCTTTTCAGTGCTACAACTGCTTCTGAATCTTCACTGTAACTCCTTTTACCTATACTCCTGTAAATAACCCCGATGATGAACACATTGGTTTAGCAGGCTGGACTTTGGTAGAACCAACTGTTTGATCCGTCACCAGTGTCCTGTCTGGGATGAGTAGGTGTTTGTTCATGTCTTTCCAAGTAAAGTCATACAACAGCTTTGAATGAAGAACGTGATATCAACAAGAAGTATCTTTGTGGAATGATGTAACCATTTGTGGTATGACATTACCTAGGAAGACATGAACAAACACATTTGTCTCCCATAGGGCACTGACAATAGACCAATGAAATAATATCACCCAACTCCAACTTGGTAAAGCAGTGAGTTTATTGGGGTTACTTACAGGAACATGGGAGAAGGGTTACTTATAGGAGCATGAGAAACTCAAGGGCTGTAGCTCTGAAGAGCCCACTCAGGCATGGGCCACAGCTCATGAAGGCTGCATCCCTCATGCTCCCCATTCAGCCTACAGTCAGCTCCATGACTCTCCCTATAGTCTGTAGCTTTTGTAAACTTGGGGTGGGGCCTTGTGACTGCAGCTTCCTGAGCTGTCTAAGGCCTTCTGACCTTCTCTCTTTCTCTCAGGATGAGTGTTTCAATTGGAAGAACATAGCAGTGCACTACATCATTACCATGAACTTGTACAGGCATTCCTGACAGTCTCGGATACACAGTATATCCTCAAATAAAATTAGCTACTCTTTTTATATTTGGTCACTATTCGCGTGATTCTTTCTAGGCAGCATTTCTCATTCCAAAGAGAAAGGCTAGCTGTACTTCAGTCTGCTCCGCTCACAGACGGAGTGGAAAAAAGGAGTGGCCAGCTGGCGGAATGGATCCAGCTCACTGGGGGCAATTCAAATCATAGCTAGTAATTTTGGACATCAATACGTGCTTTCATAACTTATTGTAATTATCTCCTAAGAGGTTGAAGAAGTTGGTGTTTTTATTATTTTAAGTGTGTGTGTGTGTGTGTGTGTGTGTGTGTGTGTGTGTGTGTGTGTGTGTTCCAAGTATTGGTCAAAGGACAATTATCAGAGTGGTCTTGTCTTCCCACTTTGTTTTGAAGAAGGGACTCTGTTCTGGTTTAGCCCTGCATATGGACAAGATATCAGGCCCCCAAGTTTCCAGCTTATTCCCCTGTCTCTGCCTCTCATTTTCTCCTGGAGTGCTAAAATGACATACACACCAACCTCATCCAACTTTTTACATGGGTTTTGAGGATTGAATTCAGGTCATTAATTTTTAGAGCAAGCCCTTTAACTCAAAGAGATCTCTCCCAAGCTCGATTATTTTCTTTTTAAAATAAGAAAAGTATAATTGAGAGCAGTTAGCTAAGTTGCCTATACCTGCAGCTTTGTATGCAAAAGATCTGAGCTCACGTGCTCCTCTTTGGAAGTGACACGGTCTCTGGGGTATAACAGGCCTTAGTGGACTTTGGTTGAATGATCTTGGTTACTGTGATCAATATGGCTATATGATGGTCATTTTGTGGGACGCAGGAAGTGGTAGGGATAACTACAGCATACAGAATCATCACTATCAGCTAATTATTGATCCCTTTCTTTCAGAGATTTTCTTTCCCTCATTTACTGTAACAATCTTAGAGAGAAGGCATCATTGTGCCAGTATTACATCTGAGGGTCTGAGATTCAGAATCATATGATCTTGTTGTGTGAAAAACAGCCAAGATGGGACCTAAGGCAGTCTGATGACTATGTTATATTACACAGGCTATGTTACATTAGACTTTTTACAAAAAGATTTTTAATTTAATTTAATTTTATGTTATGGATATTTTGCCTGCATGTATGTCTGTATACTACATATATGCCTGGTACTCGCAGATGTCAGAAAAGGGCATGAGATCCCCTGGAACTGGAGTTATAGATGCTGGAAGCCGTCTTAACCAATCAGCCATCTCTCCAGTCCCACATCATGCTTTTGTTGTTAAGGATCTTGGGATGGTAAAGACCTCATCACTTTTATATCCCTAACAAATAGGACAGTGTTGGTCTTATGGGGCCTGAACAGTTTATTTGCTCACTTGTTAACTTCCACAAAGACAAGGTGTTTCCATCTATTAGCATCTCTACTTTTTAATTATCCCCCTGCCTCCTGCCCCTTGTACATCTGGGTCTTTCTTTCTTTTGTTGTTGCTGTTTGTTTTTAATTTTTGTTACATTTCTTTCTTTCTTTTGTGTGTGCACGCATGAGCACACACCGTGGTAAGTCAGAGGACAGTTTACAAGGGTCAGTTCTCTCCTTCCACCGTGTGAGTCCCAGGGATGGAACTTAGGTCGTCAGGCTTTGTGATAAGCACCTGCATTTTCCTGCTAAACCATCTTGCCAGCCTTGTTTATTCTGATACAGGGGCTTTTTATGTCTTCCGGGCTGGCTTCGAACTCACGACCTTCCTGCTTCTGCTTCATGAATCTTGGGATTTTATGGATCTGCTACCTCACCCTGCCTGTTCTCCAGCTTTAAACTCACAACTTCCCAGCTACACAAAGGTTTTCCAGGCCACTCCACTTTAAATCAATGCTTCCCCCCTCTGTGAAGTTTGCAAGCTCCTTTCCTCTACACTCATCACTTAGCACTTATTGCTGGCTCTGTCTGGCGCCTTTCCAAGGTTTGCAAGCTCCCCTCCCCTCCCCCCCTCCACTGGTTACAAGCTCCTCCAGGGCCGGAACTATTTTATATGAAAGTGTGTTTAACATAGTCACCAAATTAGTGCTTTTTACGTAGAGAGTTTTCACTTTCCTACAAAGACAGCTTTATTACCTGCTACATTTCTGTACAGAAGAAAATCATTTTGTCCATGTGGCTGTTCGGTTAACTCAGGTGCAAAATGAAATTTCCATCGCACGGGAGAAGACTTTCAAAGTGAGGCTGTGTGTGTATAAATATACCAAACATATGTGTTTAGCTTAAAAGAAAACAAACTAAAATGGCAAATTTCTTAAAGGGAGCTGGTGATAAATAGCACATTGTTACCTGAAATCGGAGCTTAGTCATGGGAGGGAGCTGCCAGGGATAACAGCCCTAGTGATGTGGAAGTTGAGTCTAGATGCCAACATTTACTCTGCCAATAATCACAATGGATAATTCACTACCAAATGTAGCGAGAATGTGGCAAAGTACCTTGTTAATATAGCAGGCGGATTTTGAATTGAGAAGGGACAAAAATTTGGCTCACAACACGTAGTGATGCATTCCTACAGAGGCCCTTTTCTGGGCTGCTCCAAATCACTGCGTAAAGGACACAACATTGGGAAGAGGTACACATACGTCACCTTGATTGCTGCCCGGGCTCCTAGGGTTGGTGTCCTTTGCTTTGATTCATCTGCTCAGCTCCCTAGGGATTGGGCTCAGAATTCAAGGAGAAAGGAAGTTTGGAAGCATTGAATTCATACATTCTACGAACCACCCTCCAGCAGAGTCATGCACTGACATCTCTCTTGGCATCTTTTCTGTTCTTTTATGTGGCATTGCTTTTCTTTTTCTTTTTGGGTCTACTCCTAGCCCCAAATCCTGTTGCTAGGAAAGCAACGATCATGTCAACTCTCACTTTTAGAGGGAGCTCAAGATTCTAAGGTTTGATTCGGCTTCGCTGGGATACTTTATAATGTATCTAAGTCTATTATGTAAAAGTGGGCTAAACTTTCTTCCATACTGAAAAGAGCCACGAATTATGCACAAAGGCAATTTTCTACATATGTTGTCTGTATTTCGATACTATCAAAAAAGCAAGTGTTGGGGCTGAAGAGACGGTTCAGTGAACCACACGCTTATCAGGTAAGGATTAGGATGAGAATTCAGATCCTGAGCACCCACACAGAAGCAGGGTGCATAACAGCAAAGGTGGAGGTGAGGATCCTTGGAGCAAGCAGGCTAGCTTGCCATACTGGCAAGTTCCGGGTTCAACAGAGAGACCTTATCTCAATAAACAATGTGCAGCCTTGAGCCTCCTCCATGTGTACCCCGACACATACCCACACATGTGCTCGCACACATACAAACACACTACCCAAACAGACACATGCAAAAGTAGATATATAAATAAATAATTTTCTTTTTCCATTCTTTTTGGGTTTTTTTTGTTTGTGTTTTTCTGTTTTGTTTTTATTTTTTATTTGTTTGTTTTTGGGTTTTGTGTGGGATTTTTTGTGTTTTGTTTGTTTGTTTGTTTTTGAGACAGGGTTTCTTTGTGTAACCACTCTGGCTGTCCTAGAACTCGCTCTGTAGAGCAGGCTGGCCTCAAAAAAGTTCCAGAGATCCGCCTGTCTCTGCCTCCTAAATGCTGGGATTAAAGGTGTGCTCTACCACTGCCCAGCTGAATAAATAATTTTCAAACAAGCAATTCTTCACTTACAAGGGACAAACATCAATCCCAAGTTTTAAATACCACTTTCAAAATTGCTCCACACAGCAGGTCATCCACACTGATACATTTTAATGACTGGCCTGCTTCCTTAGTTTAAATGACAAGTGGTTCTCTCCAGTGTCCTCTGTTTACTCTGTAATGAATACTTCATACTCAGAGTTTTCCCTCAAGGTGTTGGTAGGTGTCAGCCTACCTCTTCTTTGGCCTATGTTAGGTATAGTTGCCAGCTTTCATTTTGTTTGTAGTCTAGAAAAATCCCTCAGCTTCCGGGTCAATATGTAAGGGTTTTCTTTATTTCTTTAAGAGAATCGTGACAGTAGCTTCCTGGATCTTTGTGCTTCGAAGACCTTGGGAACCCTAGTATATTTGTATTATAATTCCTCAGTAGCCTGTGCCTGTGTACAACACCTTGAGAAAGCACATGAGTCTGTCTCATCTATTTTCCTTCTGTGCAAATTTAGGACCCATTGGAAGGGAAATAAAGACAAAGGCTGGAGGGGTTCCAAATGATCTTTTGCAGAAAGAATGGAAGGATTAATACAGTGCACTCTGGCTAGCTTTCTTGTTTTCGTCTTGTAAATTTCCTCCAAATTGAAGTTATAATGAATTGCAATGCTCTTATGCTAAGCCATAAGGAATAAGCTATTATTCCCACCCTGGCTGTGAAACCCCAGGGAAACATCTTTTTTCCTGTATGTAAGTACCTCTCTCACGTTGGCTCAGCAAAAGATATGTCGAACTGTTTATAAAGTGAGTAATTCATTTCTCCGTGTAAACTGTCACTGTAGATGTTGGGTGTACCCGGGGAAGAAAAATGAGAGTGAATACCTTTCTATTGTGACAGAATTAAGGAAGGACTGCACTGGCAAGCCCAAGCATTGCATGGGTTGATCTGAAGTCCAGCCCCTCACAACACAGCTCTCTGCTTTTTCTTCACCAGTGTCTCTGAGATCCATCGTCTTTGGACCAGAATCAAGATTGCACAAAGCTACAGGGAGATAGAAATCTCAAATGACAAGATCCCCTTTGGAGATGCTCATAGTCATAGCAGGAAGAGGATGCAGATACCCCGCCATCGTATATCGGTCTCCGCCACCACTGGGGCAGCTCTAATAACTGAACACAGAAGCAGAGGCAAAGCCCTTCCTCTCCTTTCGTTAAGTGGTTTGATTGTTTTTCCTCCCCTCAACCAACTGGCGAAGGACAGCAGTACAGTTTTAGCAGGGAGGGAGCTCTCCTCTGTGACTGCAGTGGGCTTTACTGCACTCAGTGAACTTGTATGCCTGGCTGGACATGACGCAGGACATGTTTTACCCACTGAACACTGGAGGCAAAGACAGTGCTGGGTGAAAAGATTTTGGAGGCCAGAAAAAAAAATGACTATTTTTTTAAATATATTTGAGGCACATGCAACCTATCACTGAGACAATTGAATCACATTCCGATGTATCTCCTCAACAACCCAGCCACACTTGTCAAGAGTGTTGAAGGCAATGACTGCCAGGAAACAGTGCCTTGCACCCCCCCCAGCTCCAAGAGAAAGCCAAGTCTTGGTCCAGAGGGCAAGGTCGGCATTCCTAACTTACACTCCATGGCACCCTGGCTGGTTACGGTACTCACCCTTTTTACCCTGACTCAAATAGGAAAGGAAGAAATAAGAAAACCTGTTCCCGGGGTGCTGGGGTGAAGAGGAGGCAGAAGGAAGGGGGCGGGGTGCCAGGAGGAAGGACTTAGTGCTCCCGTCAGTCAGTGACAGAAAATGGCATTTATGTGACTCCTGTGCTCAGGGAGGAAACAGAAAGAAACGCCTGGGATGTGGCCCCACCCCCTCCTCTGTGCTCGTTCATTACAGCTCTTTCTTCAAACTGCTGGGTATGCAGCTGGCAGCCAGAGCCTCCGAAGAGGCAGGAGCATGGGGGCATATAAATTACTGTTGCATTTTACAGCTAAGATAAACTCAAACTGCAGGGTTAGAGCCTGAAACGACATGAAGGGAAGGCTCCAGCAGGCCTCTCCGAAGGACAAGGAATAGAAAATGGATAGAGTTATTCAGGGAAAAATGGGATCATGGAGAAAGAAGGGGAAAAAAAATCTAAACAAGTTGTGTAAAATCTGCTGCTTTAGTGGGTCTTAAAGAGCTTATGTCAGCTTAATTCTATGTGGTAGCATAATGTAAATCTATGGGAAATGGGGTTTGGGGGCATATCTACTCAATTGCATTTCTGCAGATTGCCAAGGATGGTAATAAATGTCAAGTGGTTATTTATTTGATTAGAAACTTCATTAGATTTTGATTTGATGCTCTACAACCTCCCACTCTCCCACCTCCCAGTGCCACCAAAATGAAAGCTCAGTTTTGAAATTCAATCCAGCTAGCTTGATTGGGGGAGAAAATGTTATGAAATAAAAACTAGCAAATACCCACTTCTAGATGGCAATGTTCTGCATAAATATAGAATCTCCCCTCTGACAAGTGTATGGCACTTTGCTAACATGGAGATACGTGCTGGCAACAGAAAGTACATCTTCTGAAGCCTCTTTGAGGGTTTTGCTAGATGGAAGGCTGTTTCTGAAGTAAGATGGAGTCCTTCTGGCTACAGAAAGAATCAGATTGTGCTCTCTTAGCTTAACAGCCTCGGTGTGTATTTAAATTCTCAGTAGCTACCTTGGATTTGACTTATTTGCAGATTTCATTAGCTGGGAGAGAGAGTTGGTGATCCTTCAATTGGCCTCGGTAATTTGGGACTTAGCTAGCTGGTGCCTGGGTATCTGTTTCAACCCTGCTCAGCGTGTAGCCCACAAGTCCCATTACCTCCATGAAAGGGAACTCTTCACTGCAGCCAGCCGTGGCAGGTATCCTGTTTACAGTCGGATCTCTCTTTGCTGCTATGGTTTCTCCTGTGCCTTTCACGGTACCGCTTCCCAGAGAATCCTGTGTTAGGTTGGAGAAACAAAGAGGAGATGAGAAAAAGTGCAGCATCTAGCTTCCCTCCGCAGGGAACGGTGCTTGCATGTCAAAAGACCTACCAAATAGGAATTGGGCTGGCTTTCATAAAACCAGGGATTTAAGCACAGTGTGGGGTATGTATTATTGCCACGGAGCACAGGCTGTAAAGAAGCACAAAGACACAGGCTTTATCTCTTTGCCTGAAACCCTCTTGGAACCTTCTGGGAGTGCACATTCTAAATCAAGAGTCAAAACGTTTTCCCAGCACAACTGCAAATTGAAAATAGGCACTTGAACAACACAGACAGAGCTGGGGGAAGAAGAATTCCTTTGAAATGCCTACAACCCACCCGGAGCCACCCTGGCTCTTTCTGTAGGCAGGGAAGAGTATTCATCTGCAGCGAAGGGCGTGCGGCTCAGTGGAGAGAGCTGACAGCTGACAAAAAGATCCATTAGATGCCCACCCTGGCCCCTTGCCAGCCCTGAATATTTTTTCCTATACCACCTCCCCCCAGAATAAAGAACAGAGATTTGATTTCGAGATGCATCTAGTAGATACAGATTTTTGTGTTTCTTTCCTTCTGTGTCCACCACCCCCTCCCCCCAGTTCTCTCAGTATATTGTAATTGAAACAAAGGTCTGAATGATAAATTTCTTGCATTAGTCTAAGTGGTGTGAAACACTGGAGAAATGAAACTTAGGAATTCACTCTGTGCTGTGTGGTTAGCAACAACTCACAGGGCGGAAAGTCTTGCTTCCTTTTGTGGAAGAAGTCACTATCTCCAAAACAAAGCAAACAAACAAAAAAAAATTGCCCTGCTGAGTATCAGTTAACGGTATTTGAACCCATTCCTGATGAACTCTGCTCTATGTGGGTTTGGCTTGAAGAAGAAAAGGCAGACCTCAGAGGGCTGGGGTCTAGCTCAAAAGCAGTCGACCCCGGCAGGAAAGGGCAGCCTGCCTCCAAAGCTGCTGAAAGAGGAGAGAAATTGGAAGCTCAGGGTGAGGCTTTGAGGCCCTGCTGAGCCGAGAGGGAGCAGTCAGAACAGTGGATTTTCCTTTCAGCAGGGGTGCTGGGAGAGGGTGAGGGGAGTTGCTAGAGAGAAGAGGGAGGGGGGATAAAATGTGTGAAGGCACAGAGGGAGGAGCATATGCTGGGCCATGGACTGACAATGGGCTGAGTCCATCTGCGGATCTTCCTGAGAGGAGTGAAGAACACCAGCGAGCTGGGCTGTGAGAAGAGAGAGGCTGGATTTGGCAGAAGATAATACGGCTCAAGTTAAACAGTATTAATTCAGTAGGTTAGGCGACAGGAAGCAGTTACGTGTTTGTATTCAAGAGTCACATTTTTAAACAGATGACTGTCTTGATGTTGGGGTGTGACATAAAGATTATGAATTATTGAGCTAGATTTTCAGGATTCGCATTAGCTGCCGTGTGTGCATTTAATTCGAGGTAGTTTGCTAATGAACGGGTCATGACCCAGCCTTTCAGTCTTGTGGGAGCGAGAGAGAGAGAGAGAGAGAGAGAGAGAGAGAGAGAGAGAGAGAGAGAGAGATACACGTACAGTTAGCAAACACAAAATGATAGGTAAATAACAGGATCAGGACAAAGAGCAGAGACAGGTGTGTAAGGGCTTTGAGTAAAGGCTTCAGAGCTTCTGGTGAGCCTTGGGGCTCTGACATGTGCCAAAGCAGAGCCTGTGTTTCTAAACCCGGACAAAAGCATAGTTAGAAAGGAGGGGAGGGCTGCACGGTGGCAGTGTGAATAGAGCTGCAGGTCCTGACAGATAGAAAGGCTGTGTTTAAACAAGAAACATAGGGACTGCCCTACCCCACTAGTGCCCCGCCAGAGAGAAAACTCTGCTACCTGATTCTGTGTATTTTCCCTCTTTAACCACAGACAATGCTACTCAGTTTTAGGTGCTATCAAAACCAGAAAATGATCTTGAGATCAACGTTTCTTGCTTGGTGACAGGATAATAGGGCATCCTCCTCCTCCTCCTCCTCCTCTTCCTCCTCCTCCTCCTCCCCCTCCTCCTCCTCCTCCTCCTCCCCCTCCTCCTCCTCCTCTTCCTCTTCTCCTCCTCCTCTTCCTTTTTTATTCATGCATTTAGTTAGTTAGTTTTAATTTGTTCTTTGTGTCTTTCGCATCATGCCTCCCAAGCCCACCCATCTCCCTCCTCACCCCCAAAATAAAACAAAATAAAATTTAAGAAAAAAAGAGGGAGAAGAAAAAGAAGAGGAAAATCTCATCATGAAAGCCACAGTGTGACACAGAGTCACTCAGTAAACTCCTTTATCCACATATTTTTATATGCAGGCGTTTATGGAGAAGAATCACTGGTCTGGTTTGAGGCCTCCCCCCGCTCCCCCCCCCATCTCAGCTGCACCATCAACGCAGGGCCCTCCCCAGGACTCTTCCCGGACATCCCGTTGCTGCCTTTGCTGATCTGTGTCGTGGAGATCCTGCAACTCTGGGACCACAGGACTGACACATACCCCCCCCATCCAGTTCTCCAGCAGATCACAGATGAGATGGATGTTGGGGTGGGCCAACATATAACTCTGGTTCTGGGCCTGGGTAGTTGCAGGGTTGGTCAGCCCTCCAGCTCTCCCCTGTCCTCGCCACCAGTGGGGTGAGCTCTCCAGCATTGCCCTGGCTAGTTCACCCCTGGCAGTGAGGAGCAAGGGGCAGGGCTGGTTCTCTGACTTTCACATCCTCGGAGTTGACTCTCCCACATCTATACTATACCTTCAGGGCCATCTCTACTGTGCTGCCCAGGCAAGGTTGAGGGGCCTCTCTCCTGAGTGCTGCAGATGATGAGGGGCAGGAACAGCTCTCCCACATGTATGACCTCAGGGCCATCTCTCCCACTTGCCTCAGGCATTGATAGGGCAGGGGGACATCTCTCCCCTGCCCATGCTGCCACAAGACAGATGAATAATGGGGACAACTCTCCCATGTTCACAATATTGGGGCTGGCTCATCCACACCTCTGCCAACAGGGACATCTCTATTGTGCTGCCCAGGCAAGGTGCAAGGGCCTATTCTCCTCAGTATTGCAGCTGGTGGGGGACAGGGATGGTTCTCCCATCTGCTTCTGAGGTTGATGGGGGATGGTGGTGCAACTCTCCTCCACCCATGCCGCCACTAAACAGATGAGTATTGGGGACAGCTATCCCGTGCTCACAACCTCGGGGCTGGATTACCTACATATCTGCCACCAGGGTTGGCTCTATTGTACTGCCCAGGAGAGGTGCAGGGCCTGTTCTCCTGTGCATTACAGCTGTTGGGGGACAAGAACACCTCTCTTGCTCTTATGACCTCAAGGTTGGCTCTCTCATCTGCCTCTGGTGTTGTTGGGGGAGGGTGGAGAGGGAGGGCATCTCTTCCCTGCTCATGCCCTAGGGCATGGTTTTATGAAAGCACAGAGCATATAGGTGCCCAACATTTGGGGCAAGCACATTAGTAAGACAACATGTTTGAATGACTTTTTAAACAATTGCTTCATTTATTACAATTTTTGCAGCTGGACATTGGGTATGTGGAAAAACCACTATATCATTCCCATGATACGTATATTCTTAAATAAGCAGTTGTATCTGTATATAATATGTATAATATTCATAGACATATCTTTAGTTATAATAGGATTATAAAAAGGGGCGGGGGATGCTGAACCTTGAAGCAAGTCCTGATTTGGTGTAATCAGCCAGAAGTTACATGTTGGAATGGCAGAGCAGTAACATGAAGGCGTGACAGTCAAGCATGATGCGGAGACTTTCCCTCTCAACAAACAGCATCAGAGCAGAGACGGAAAGAACACTGTGGATAATTTACGTATGGCAACTTTGTTCTTCCCTGTCCTATTCACTGTTAGATTCTCACTAAAACTATATTATTCTTACCACCAGATAAGTTTCTCTGGTGCAGAAGGAGACACAGGAAGAGCATCATCCTGAGGAGTGCCCAAGATCTGGCTGCCCCCAGGGTCCTAAGAACCAGCTAAAGCAGGGCACAGCGTTTCACCTTAGTGCCCTGTACCCAATTATCTTCACAGATCTCTTCCCTGGATCACTCCATCTACCATCTCCAGAGTATTTAGTGCATCGCTGAAGTTTTCTAACATGGGTTAAATTTAGCTGGGAGATTTATGACCAAGGAAGGCTCTAAGAAAACCTTTTAAATGGAGGTAAGCTTTAGCTTTATGGAACTTTCTAATCACTCATATTAGATAAGATTTTTTTTTGATGGACTTGACTTCCCTTTCATTGGCCCAAACATCTCCATCATGAATTGTGTTTCTTCTTTTTTAAAAAAATGATTTATTTATTTAATGTGCGTTTGGTGTTTTGCCTGCATGTATGTCTGTGTGAGGATGTCAGTTCCCCTGGAACTGGAGTTACAGACAGCTGTGAGCTGTCATATGGTTGCTGGGAACTGAACCTGGGTCCTCTGGAAGAGCAACCAGTGTTCTTAACCACTGAGCCGTCTCTCCAACCCAAGCTGTGTTTCTTATTGAGACTTAGCCATCTGTCTGCTTGTAAATACTTGACTGCAGAAGGACAGACTGAACAACTTTGTACAGCTTGTAGGCAAAGGATACTGTGTACCTGGTCCTCACAACAAGCCAGACACTATGCTAAACACTTTTAAACTGACGAATTCAGATTCTTCAGAAGTAATTGCCATTCTTATCCCTACACATGAAAGGACTGGTGAGTGGGGAGTCTACTAATGTATCCAGAATCTCGGAGTACGGCTTTAGGTATAGCACCTCAGGAAGATGCGGAGTGAAGGATTTTGTTTTCTGCCCTGTTCACATATGCACACAGCATAGCTTCAATAGTTATTAGGTGACTGGATGGATATAAAGGGGCCTTTGATAGGGTAAGGTCTGATCAAGGTTCTGAGATGGGTCCATGGTAGCATTAATAATGCATACCCTTTTCTGCGATAAAAAGCTGCGTGGGAGTTAGAGGTGATCTGAAGATGACCTAATTAATCACCTTGGAGTGTGGAGTTACCATAGGTGAAGAGAATGAGAGCCATTGCCAGGCCAGAAGCATGAGGCGGTCTGTGGGAAACAGAATGCATTAGCAGCCGGTGGTAGTTACAGATAAGGACAGGACTCTAGAGATCCTTAGAGTGGGGTTCTTTGGCAAACAAACTGCCAGAGAAGAAGGAGATAAGGAAA